AGATATGATCTATAACAGTCATTGACCTGTGCTGGCCAAACATGCCACAGTGTTCCCTCTGCATCCATACACAAGCATATACAGTCAATATAGGCTGCTTTTTTGTTTTGTTACTTTCATGTGTTCTCACAGACAGCCAGAGTGTCTTAGTGTATTTGAGCGGAGGCGGGAGAGAGAGCAGTTTCGAAGGCAACGCACAGAACAGAGAAGTGGGGACACACACACGGATGAATATGGCCCATTGAGACTTTAAATATGTCTGGTATGTATACTATGCTTCCACTAACACAGGTGCTGAGAGAGGGAGAAAGGAAGCGAAGGAGAGTGGGAGACAGGGAAAGTACTGTATGTTTCTCATAGAACAGGTGCTGGGGATAAAGGAGGAGGATTTCTTAGTACAATAAATATTCACACAAGAGGGAAATGAGGGCATAAATAAATGATAAAGCATCCCATGTCAACAGTGCCCTTTCACTTGGCAGTTTACATTAGAAGTGATATAAAGAATCTGAAAAGTGTGTGTTTTTACAATAACTGCAGACCAACGCACTTCATCTAATAAATGCAGTTGCTTCATTCTGATTGGACTTGATCTTTCGTATAAATAACTACTGCAGAAACTTTTTTGGCTTATTTTCCTCCTGAGAAATCTGATATTTGTATTCTAGCTATCTGAGATGTAACAAAAGAGACCTATTGTGAAATAACTAAATCTGGTCTCCCTTACTAGATTTAAAAAAGGGAAGATGTTATCTTTACACCGAGGCACATGGTCTTCATACTGAAACTGAGCAAGATTCCCTTTTAAGAGCACAACAGCATGAAGTACATTGTTCATGTGTGAAATCAAAACCTAACTTTAGAACTATATTGAGCTCTGGGAGAAACAGGTCAGAAGTCAAACAAAAGTCTGTATGAAGTCAAATGATCATATTTTTACAAAATGATTATGAAAGTCTAATGATATGCATGTATTGCAAAGCTCTTTTGTATTGTGAGCAGGCGTAGGAGGGTTGCAGGACATCATTATTGTTATTATTAGCATCATTGTGAAAAATGTGCGGTCAATGGACTCATTTAATATTCTACTACAGACAATTTAACATTGACAATGAAACAAGAAGCCAAAAAGAATCAGCTGTCCCTTTCTCTCTCCTTTTGCCAGAAAGAAGTTATGCGTAACGGTTTACTGGAAAACTTGACTCAGTTAGTCAGAGGTTTCACACATCTGGAAAACATACACAATGTACAGAGCTCTCACACACATACAAACAGACTGTATATAACCATATAGTGTCCTGCTGCGTTGTCCAAGTGAGGACAGTTTCCTGGAAACAGCCAGGTCTCAGTGATATTACAATACAGAAATTCAATATGGGGGAGTGAGTGCTTTGGAGACTGCATTATAAAATCTTGCAATCAACATTCCATATTTTTGGAGTCTGTGGAATGAATAGCTATTATTACAGTGAGCTGAAAGCATATGCTGCAAGTCAAAGATAATGAGAGAGCAGTCGGGTCAAGAGTGAGGCTGTGCAACAGCCAAAAAGCACACAACAGACCTGTCATCACATGAAGACAGCAGCAGCAGCACAGAACGCTGCATGTGCAAGGGTGTTTGTTTGACCAACGCTGAAATGAGTCATAAAATGTTTGACCCCCTCAAAGTCAAATGTGTCAACAGAAGTTATATTCTCCAAATGCTTTACAAAAGGTGAAAATAAGTTATAGTAAAACGGCATGGACAGAGTTTGGAAGGATTTTACAGAATTATGAATCTTTCAAAAGACATAATGGCCAAAACGCCAGCGGAAGCCAGAGTGTGCACTACTGACTACTTTTAAGTCTCCTTACGGTGATCAGAACACTTGGTTTGGTTACTTTTTTAGGATTTTAAAGTTTACACAGATGGACATGGGTATAAAATAAAGACATAATATTGCCTTGGGTTCATATTTTGATGTCCTAATTGAGATATGTATCATAGTTATCTGATCTATTGACCCCAAACTAAAGGTCCTAGTCCACATTATCTGGCAGATTGTCATCAGGTGAAAAACATTTATTTTGCGGTTGAGCAAAAGAGTGTCTAAACGCAAATATAAAGTAACAACATCACTGGTATTTAGTAACCATTTTAGAAAAGCCAAGTCGTTTAATTTTGTACTCTTGTTAACTCATTTCTGGTCTAGTTGTACACGTCAGATATAAAACCAACAGTCACAAAACAGCCTGGCAGTAAATCTAACCCTGACAGACCAAAAAGGATGTGAACAGTCTCCCCTCCATATAAAGAACAGAGTTGTGACTAATATGCTGTGACTAATCCTGCAATACTTGTACATTGAGAGAAACTCAAACATCTAGTAAGTAGACCATCTGTATACCAAGTCTAAACAGCTAGAGGAAATCAGCATTCATGGATACATTACTTAAAACAAATGTGTTTGTCTGTCTGTCAGCTGTGTTTAATTAGCACAAAAAAAACATTAATAATAATTAGAGCAGGGATCATGCTTCCTCTTGCCTATGGCAGGGAGTGTAAGCCCATGCAGATATATGCTTGCCTGGACTGGCCCAGAGGGACTCACTGTGAGTCATCCATCCAGAAAATGATACAACTAGCAGGCCAAAAACTCAGCGATGTCAGCGAGTGACTAACTCGTAGTTCTAAAGCCACACTCAGAGAAAAAGTTTGAATATACACGGTCATCCATCACGCCTAGCAATTTAGAACCAAAGTGTATTAGTGGCTTAAAGTAATAGGGAATCAAATCAAAGTTTAATTACATTTTTTACAAAAAAAAGTTGTTCACCAGTAATCACATCCTTTTATCCTGTGTTTAAACACATGGGGCCTGAGGTGGGAAAACATCACATTAAACTGTATTTATGCCCCCAACTGTTTCAGTATTCAGCTAATGTTTACTGCCTTGCCAGCTCTGCTACACACAGCCAGCAGCATGGTCTCAGGTTTCAGCTCTTTCCCTTTCACAATAATCACTCCATGAATCCTACATTTCACACATTTCTGGAGCGGTGGCACATTTCCCTGGCCCTCATTTGGGACTTTTTATAGGGAATACATCATGGTGCCAGGCCAGCATATTTCTTAACTTTGACAATGCATAGAGCTCTCAGCTGTCATTTCCAGGTGTTTTCCAGCTTTCCAACAGACACATATATGGAAAGGAGGGGAAGGACAGGGAGAGATGTAATCTTCTAGTTTAGAAACAGTCTGACTTGTCAGATCAGGCAGCATTTCGTCATTCTTAGCATTCCATCTTTAACTAAATATGTATTTGTTTCTGATAAATCATTTCATATTAAGTTTAAAAACTTGACACATGCCCTCTGTGTGGGTGGAAAATGCAGGCCAGGTCTCGAGGTTTGGGTATAAATGCCAAAGCTGTGAGCTACAGGCTGAACAGACTTTGGCCCTCAGTGAACTTGAAGCCAACTGGAGGCATGCAGTGGTTTGAGTACATAATAAAGTAAGAATATCAGTAACCCTGAATCAGCCCGTGGTCCCAGGTTAGCTTTCATGTAAATAGCCTAGCCCTGTGTTGCTTCCTGGAAGACCAGATTGCTAGATAAAACAATTATCATGCTTATTTTCATGTTGATAATTTGTTGGTACAGGCTTATAGAATCAACGACGACCATAAAAACAAGTATAATTTGAAAATATACACAAAACAAGCTATGACGGTTTAACTTTAACTGTTGGGCTTGAGTCTCGCGTTCTTTAACTCAACAGTTAATACATGTCTTTTCTCAGGATAAAAGAAAGAAAAAAGTCAATGTTATTATTGCAGTAAACATTGAGTTAAATAGGTATCGTTTTTCGAAAAATAAAACCGTAATTAAAAGCTACTTACTTTTTCACTGATAAACCCAGTCGCCAGTCCGACGAGAAACAACAACCACATATTTCTCATTTTAACTTCCGAAAAGAGACGACAGTTGTAAGGGGAAAATATATATATTAAGTTAAACAAAACTAATTATATACACTGAAAAGTTCTTCGTTACGACAATTCCTCGTCGCGTTTAAGGCTGGGGTCTTCGGCTACTTTGTTCAATCTCGACACTTTGATAGACGGTTGGACGCGTTGTGATGTGGAGTTCCTCTGGAAAAGTTGTTTGGACTCGCAGTGCAGCGTGGCTCCGTGGTGACGTCAGCACGGCGTGACGTCAATTGGGGGCGTGTCAACACACACAAACATACACACACACAAGCACACGCACGCACAGACACACAGGCACACACACTTCTACTCGTGTAAACATTCAAAGTAAACATTTATTTTTATAATAGTTATTTATTTCTATATATATATATATATATATATATATATATATATATATATATATATATATATATATATATATATATATATATATATATATATATATATATGCATATTGAAAATCTATGCTTTCACGATTTATGTAACACCTCCACTGCTTCGATGTCCACATTCGGCAAGGAACATTTACAAAGAAACTGTTTCGTGTGATCTGGGTTTTCAAATGTCCATCACTGTGTTGGCTCTAATAATTTCATCCCACTACAGTAATTATAACATTTTCATTCGACAACTTTTACGGTGGAGAAAAGTAAGATTTGTTTAGGGTCAAAGGCTCACCACCTAAAAGCTGCAAGATGTCACACTTTTTTATTGAATTGAGTTTCTGTGAGAAAAGCCAAATCAGATCAACTGTGAGTCAATGTGGTACTAAAAAAATAACAAGAACATTTCCAACAGTGAATATGTTTAAATAGGCATCAAATATGATAAGGGGATACAATAGTCAAAAGGTGAAGTATTTGGCTGGAACTTGAAAAATACACAGTAATATAAGGCTTTCCATCATGTTGGGCTTTTGACCCCTGAAAATAAAGCTTGATCTACAGGTGATTCCTCACTACCTATATCTGTCATTGTCAATCACATCAGATAATTATGTGATAAATTCTTGCTTTTTCCATGGAGTAAATGTTTCTGGAAGTCTTTATTTTCTGACGGATGTTACACTGCAACCACTCAGATTAACACATTCTTAAATGCTGAGCACAGATGAAATAACACTCTATAAACATTGACAATAGATTTTACAACTTCATTGATTCATATTACTTTAAATCAGTTTAACACACTTTTTTTCACCTATGAATGAAATGAGGGACAATAATGTAACCTGCTTTTATGTTAGTTGTATTGTTATCAGTTTAAGTTCCAATGCGGCCACTTTACCACGCACTGATATGAAACCACTCATGGCAGAGTAATACTGATATGATTGGATATGAAGACATTTGAATGACTTTCTGAAACAACCATTAAATAGTGCAACAAATGAGGGGGACACAGAAGCACACACATAACATTGCAGTCTCCAGACAGATTTGAATGCAGTCTCAACCTCTACTTTAGGCATGGCAAAGGAAGTGCGTTACCAAGCTAAAATGTCCAGCCTTTTGCAGAAAACTCGGTCCGGAGGTTGTAAAACAATCGTCTCTAAAGCTGAAGAGTCTGTAGGAGGTCTGTGGAATTTTACAGGGCAGAGGTCAAAATCATCTGATTCCTGACCTGATGTCTGATGCTTTCATATTTCTCTTCCAAACCTGAGGGATCTGTATAACAAACAGAAGATAAGACAATAAGGATTCGATCTTCAAACAATATTTTATATGGCATTATAGTTTGTGTGAGTGTGTGCGTGTGCGTGTGCGTGTGCGTGTGCGTGTGTGTGTGTGTGTGTGTCTCACTAAAGGAGGTACTGAAGGCATTAGGTGTCGCCCTAGGAATGACAGCAGTCTTCTCCATATCAGCCCGCTGCCCAAGAACATGAAGCCGGTCACCAGCCAAAAGACACGAGGGTCCTGGTAATAATCACAAACAGTGTAAGGTTACCCTGTATAAACATACAAATGATGCAGTATGCACATGCAGACCCATGGAACAAAGCTAACAAATACACTCAAAGGATGTTCCACGAACAGAGGAAAGCTAAGAAATGAAACACACAAGTAGACCTGCATCCACATGTCCAAAAACAAAATCTAATGCATAAACCTATAAAGACAATACATACAGCTTTAAAATGAACCTTCAATATAGATTCCTAAACAAAAACATGTGTTGAAAGAATTACATTTATTTTCTGTTAAATTTTTTTTTTTAAAGGAATACCCAATAAAAAAATACCAAGTTTAGTCTTAAAACGGTATCAGGCACAATCATTAATAAAGGCTTTCAAGTATTTCAAGTTAAGGAAAGGAGAAAGTCCTCATATCTGAGAAGTTTCAAACAGGAAACACAACTATCCATCTTCAGATACGATTTAAGTCTTTCACAGGAATCTGACTCACCTCTTCGAAGGAGGACTGCAAATTCATTCCAAAAGCGACCCCTATCAGACCAAATAGGGAAAGGGAGAAGGATCCCATCGCTAGCTGCAGATTCAGGCGCATCATCACGTTACGATGGCTGGAATAAACAGACAGCACATGTAGAGCTCACAAGTTAGTTTTTTTTTTTTTTTTTTAAATGGGAAATATGCCTTTAGTGGGTCAGCAGCTTAGAAAATAGGTTCAGAATTTGTCATGTCTGTATCAAAACAATAGTCAACTGCGCGAATGTATATGAAACCATTATTGTTTGTTTAATTATTCCTCATGTTCATATTAAACAATCCCTTCCTAATGAGCTGTCAAATGTAGTAAAGGGGATACATTACACAGCCCTCGTTTGGGGCAAAAATGTATTTATATTTATATATCTGATGTGATGGCTCAGCAGTCTGAGTTAGACAAAGCAAACGGATATCTTTTGAGGTTACAGTGTTTAGAACAAAGTTCCACATTTTTTCCAGGGAATCACAAACTAAAAACAGGCAGTAACCTTGAAAAAAACCGATACCCACTTGATTTGTAGGACTGAGATAGTGCCACTTCAAGTAAGGTTCCCAAAACATTTTTGAATTTATTTTCGCAAAAAAAGGGATGTGTTTTTATGCGTTTTGTCACCAAGACAGTACATTATGAAAACATCATATAATGATTACAGCAGAAAAAACTGTTTTCATTGTTCTTATGGGCATCTGACTACTGTTTGAAGACAGAGTAAAGAACAATAAAGAGATTTTATACCAAATACAAACATGATTCATTTCAATATATGCGCAGTTCAAACTAAATCCCGTTAACAGTAAGAAATTAAACACATCTCAATTGTTGTATACATGAACAGTCCCTATATTTGTAGGCCATATAATCACCGTGTTCATATTGCCACTATCCCAACATATATAATATATTCACATGTATTGTATAATATACCCAGTATGTGCGCGTGTACCTGTCCAGATTGATGAAGACAACACTCTCAGAGTCGTCTATCAGCCCTTTCAGCTCTCTGGTCTTGTTCGCCAGCTCCTCAGCCTGTATGGAACAGTCCACAGCAGTTAAATATTGTGTGCTAGCGCTTTAGATATAAAACAAACCAGACAAGTGGACAGGTTCAACACTACAATAAATGTGCAAGTACAAATTCATGTTATATTATAGTATTTTAAATTACACTAAGAAAAAGTTAATCATAAATAATGAGTTTATTTTAAAATGGGAATTATAAAATCTTAATCAGAAATCTTAAACATGTTTTATTCTAACTGCTTAAGTAGCACTACCTGCATATAGTAATTTTCCAACAAGAGTTCCATCTCCTCCGCGTGGTCAATACCCAAACTGCTCTCCTCACTGGAAAGGCAGACAGAAAGACAATGTCCATAAACACATTGAATATAGTTCTGGTTCTAGAAATACCTGGATACCAAAACGCGTAAAAATCGGTACGATCATTTATTATTTCTAAGGAATAGCTCAACAGAACGAATTAGTCAAAACCTGTTCATCAATACAATAAGAACCGCCAAAATAATCACGCATTGTCCCATTTACGCATCGCTTTACGGACACATAAATCAGGGCTGCCAACCTTTGAGTTCAGCTTGGAGTGAGATTTTTCTTTTGGTGAACCGAACAAAGAAACGTTCAACAGTGTTACAAATGTATTGAACATGTACAAACTAAGGTTTCCCATTAATGTACCGGGCGCTACAGTGGAATACGCACACACACAGTGTACCCGCGACTCTTACAATGAAGGCTCGAAAATCAGCTCACAGCATATAAAATGGCATATCGGTGTAAGCAGAGGTAAAGTGATGTTTTATGGGGTGGGGGGGGACCTCACCTCCTCTAGGGGGGTCCGGGGGCATGCTCCCCCGGGAAGATTTTTATTTAAATATTGAAGTTAAATTCATCAATCTGGTGCACTTTGAGAAAAAAAATGAAGAGATCTATGGATACATCTCTCAACACCCATATGAAACAGAACTGTACACAGCTTTTCTTTTTCTTTATGGATATTTTACAAATCACTCTCCTTTTAAACTGTATTCTTGTTTTACTGTCATATAATATTTCATAACTGTTTTTCATTTATTCTCATAAATGGTGACCAAACTGTTTGAGACTGACTGAGATAACTAGACTAAAGTTAACTATCTAAACACTCAGAGAGTCCCTTACCTCACTGAGCTGTAGTTATATCTCTCAGTCTGACAGGAGAGAGCTTTCCCTCTCCTTGTTTTAGAAACAGCTTCTAATATCCGTTAGCGCAGCTAGCTAACCAGATGCTAACAACAACAATGCAAATAGTGAGTTTGGTAGAAATATACTGTATAATAGTAAAGTTATTCAAGATAATGCCATATTTATTGAAGATTTTACATTATAAATATTCCCCAATATTATTCAAAAGCATATTCTTCAAAACTCCTTGTTGTAGTATGACCACCAGGAGACTATTGATGTGTGTGGTGAGTTTGGTAGTAATAAGCTGTATAATAGTGATTGAATATTATTGTATTCTCTTTTTTCGGAGTTGCACTTTGCAGACGGTCCCTGAGCACTCGTTTCTTCTCCGGCTGCGGATAGAGACCTAATGTGTCCAGCTCGGAGGACGGCGCGTATTGGCTTTTTTTTATCAAAATGTGATTGTAGTTCGTTGTCAACCTTACCACGGTACTTGGGAGACGTCATTTGTGTCTGAATAACGTTTTGTTCATGAGTTATTGATCCGTGAAATCCGAATCTCCCAATATCGTTCCAACTTTACTGAACTAAGCCAGAAGACTGTCTCATTTCGTAGACGGCTCGGTTTGCTGTTCCTTCACTTTATTTTTATATTTATATACATTTATTTTGGACGAAAACTTAGCGTGAGGAAAGGCATGTGTGGCGCTCAATGCGTGAGGGTTGGCAGCCCTGCATAAATCGATCGGAAAAACAGACATCTCAGGAATCCCGGTACATATAGGCCTACACAATGATCTAATGTAAATGAAAACTTGTTTGTGACAGAAACAAAATACATTCAAACTATTTGGAAGTGTCTCAACTACATACGCTACAAAAAGACCATTATTTCGGAAACACACCTATCGGATGGTGTTGGCATTTGTTTAAGTATCATCCGACCGCGTGGCCTAATGGATAAGGCGTCTGACTTCGAATCAGAAGATTGAGGGTTCGAGTCCCTTCGTGGTCGTCCTTTTGAATTATTTTAGAAGATTCACAATACTTAAGCCCTAAAGATGTTTTGCTTTTTAAAGACGTATTTAATACAGTTTAACATCTTTAAACTTAATTTTTTGCGTTTTATTGCTTATTCTCATCATATTGAACAGATGAGGCATTTTTTTAATTATTCATATTTGTATTTAAAGAATGAATGCATTTTCAGCAAATCAAAATAAATTATGTTCATTTATTCACAATAAGCACAACACTTGTTTTAATAAGGTTATGAGGGAAACATATAAAATAAAATGTTTTTATGATTTTTTTAATTAATTAATCATTAAAAAACAAAAAACATATTTACAACTTTACACATACAGCAGAAACAAATAGGTTGTGTCCTAAAATGTTACTTAGGACAATGCAGTTAATTCTGCCATGCCTGAATGTAACCAAACCAAAGCACCAACCAATTAGTTCATATTTAAAGGGGAAAAAACATTTTTAGAAGGGCAACTACACTACGACACCTTGGGAATCTAAAGTATTCTCCTCCTTCATCTTTTACATAAGCCAGTGACTGCGACATGAATAGAGATTTTAAAATCCTTTAGCATTCATGTTAATGTATGTGATGATAATGTATGTGAGGGTATGCGTAACTTACAAAACTCTCGGGTCTGTCCACTTTGTCAAACACAGTTCTTCAATGATCTCCTCTTCATCCAAAATCTTCAGCAAGGTATCCTTAAAGACTTTTATGTCGGTCTCCAACTCTGATAAGCTGTTAGAGGTACAAGAGGCAGGAGTGAAACTCAGCAAACAGACAAAACTAAACACTTGAATGTTTACTATGAATGTTTATGCCTAACATGTCCAAGTGAGTCCATAGTGCTTGGATCAATTATGAAATACTGTGTGAAAAAACAGCTAAAAGTGACTGAAGAGGTATTTAGGCAAATGGCTGTGCTTTGAAAAAATGAATTTAAAGTGAGACCTAAATAAAAACTGAAAATAGAAGATGGCGGATGAAAACCAGAACAGTCCCAGAACTTATGACACATTTTTTCATATCCATAATTTAGAAACGGCATTGCTATATTGATGCTATGTACCCTAATTTATAAGCACCATTTCAAACCTTTACAATGCATATGGTTGTGTGCTTTACCTCTTGCTGTTCTGCAGCAGAATATGCAGTTTACTTCTATCAACCGATAGGATTTTAGGATCCACCAGTGACTCCAATGTGTCCATCAATACTGGTTCCACATCATTCAGCTGAGCATGTAGAGTGTTTACCTATTGACACAAATACAATAAGTTACATACATGCATAAGCACACATTGCTTTATCTTGGATCATAGACTAATCTATACAGAGACTTAGATTGATTTTGACCAAAGTTGACTACAAAGACACACAGTGTTGCTTTAATCTGTTTCACCTTGTGCTGCAGGATGGCCTCCAGTGCTGTGAACTCAAAGGGCAGAGAGTTCGACTGTGATGCTAGCTGAGGGGCCAGCTCCAGAACCAACCAACGCTCCAATCCAAAACCACGAAAATCCAACACCAAAAGGGACTGCGGGGTCAAGATGGCTTTGAAAGACTGAGGAAAAAACAGAGAGGGGCAGGTTAGCATCTTAAAAAACACTGGAACACGTACACTGATCCCGGATGTTTGCTACATGTATGCTAATCCATTAAGAACCTCATTATTTTAGGACTCGACATCATTGTTTGAGGTTTTTCTGGCAACAAATGCAAGGCTTTGTGTAAGTTGATTTATCTACATGAGAAATTCAAGTAAATGTGCCTGTGCTGAGTGTGTGTGTATACTGTACAGCTGTGTATGCAGAACTACATTTGGATGAGTGCAATCCCAATAGCAGACTCTGATCTGTAAATATTTGCGGTGAGAGACAATCAGATAGTCGCACATATCATAGATAGTGACCAGATTCTGAAACTGTGTCCCCAGAAGCACCCCTTCCATATCGGACTGAACACGTACACTGATCCTGGATGTTTGCTACATGTATGCTAATCCATTAAGAACCTCATTATTTTAGGACTTGACATCATCGTTTGAGGTTTTTCTGGCAACAAATGCAAGGCTTTGTGTAAGTGGATTTATCTACATGAGAAATTCAAGTAAATGTGCCTGTGCTGAGTGTGTGCGTATACTGTACAGCTGTGCAATCCCAATAGCAGACTCTGATCTGTAAATATTTGCGGTGAGAGACAAACACAGATAGAGTCGCACATATCAGAGCTCGTGACCAGATTCTGAAACTGTGTCCCCAGAAGCACCCCTTCCATATAGGACTGAACACTGTCAGTGTGTCACAGTGTGAGGAGACGCAGCTACCGCACAGAAAGCTTCCAGTACTCCAGGTAACGCACCGGCAATGCTCTGTAACTATGTCTTTTGTTTTTAGCACACAATCAACAACAAAAACAGACGCAAAGCGCAAAAACGCAAAGCATTCTGGTATCCAAAAAAAGTCAAATGTTAGCATATATAATTATATGAATCTACTTGTAGCATCAGTCACTTACTAATTATAGTCCAGCCTAAATGTAATGTATTTGTTTATATTTCCAACAGTTGTGGTAGTTTTTTTTCAATTTTATACACATTTAGTTTCTGTTGTCCGTTGTTTTAGTTTAGTTCTGCTCATGTTATTTCTTTATTTAAGTTGTCCGTGACCATTCAAAAGAGGTTATAAGAGATTCATGAGTAATCTACGCACACTATTAATAACTTACAAGAGACAAGACCAGTAAAGAAAGTGAAAATAAATATCCAACGAAAAATACATTTTAGTAAGTTAACTCACTTTTAGCACACACGTATTATATTTATTTATTGATTATGTCAATACTGTAAAGTACATGTCACTGCTTCATTCTAACTGCAGGATGTCGGTGAAGCTGCTCGGTCTCTGCCTGCTGCTGGATCTGTTGTGTCTGAGCTGGGCAGACGATCAAACGTGTCTCACATCTGCCTCCAGCTGTGATGAGTGTATCCAGTCTGGCCCGGAGTGTGCCTGGTGCACCGCCCCTAACTCTAACATCCGCTGTCAGACCTTGAAGGAGCTGCGGAGAGCCGGCTGTCAAAAAAGACACATGTATAACCCTCAGGGCAGGCTGCAGGTTGTCAAGAACGACAGCAGGTAAGTGTCATGGTGTAAAGATGCACTGAAAAACCTATCTTATCAGGTACAACATAGACATAGTTCAAACTACCCCAAACTAAGGCGACACTGGTGCTAGATACAGAGTCAAAACACAAAGACTTCTAAAGTTTTGCTTTTCTCCGGTAGCACCGAACCATCACTTGCCACAGCCATGTTCATCCAGCCCCAGGAGCTCTCCCTCCGTTTGAGGCCAGGTGTGAGCCACTCCTTCCCTCTCACTATCACCATGCCTACAGACCAGCCTATCACAGAGCTGACCATGGACACCAGCCCTTTGCCAGCAGGACTAAACCTCACGTTTAGTAGCATCCTGAAGGGGAACCCTCTGGTCGTACAGGTCAGCAAATTAAGACACCAGGGTATTCGGAAAAACAAGTTATTGTAATCATCAAGTCTGTCTGCTCTAGGTGAATGTTGAGGCTGCTCGGTGTCCCAGTGAGAGGGACGACTCAACCCAGAGGCAGAACAGGACTGGGCCCTGGTCTGTCCTCATCACACCCAGAGGCTTTTCACTGAGTGTGAAGACGGAGATAACTCTGGAGTGTGAGTACAACTTCAGAAACATGCTACAGTCAATATACAGTCAAAGAGCAGGATATCAGGAAGTCCCCATATTTAACAATGGAATAAAATGAGTCCTCCAATGACTGGAAGACTTTAACCCTTGTGACATCATTTAAAGGAGTTTCTCTGATGTCAAAAATATCCACTTCAAAGCACTCCAATATAATTATATTATTTTCTAGTTTAGTTCTGACCAAAAATACCACATATTTCATCCTTTTTTACTCTCAAACTTGCCAAAAGAAATGCCACATATTAAAACACAGCAAAAACAAGAGTCAAAAATATGTACTTTGATGCATAAGGGGTTACTAGTCAGGATGCTTCCAAACAAAGCACACACTTTAGTATTGTAACAAATAGCTTGCGCAAAATATGTAATATCTTTTTTTTCCTTAGGTCAGTGTGACTGCACAAAAAACCGTGAGAAAAATAGCCCTGGCTGCAGTAACCGTGGTGATCTGGTGTGTGGTCAGTGTGAGTGCCAGCAGCCTTATGCTGGACAACAGTGCCAGAGGGACAGCGACTCATTTATTTCCCCAAATGAAGACTTCTGTCGCTCTGGACCGAATGCCCCTGTCTGCAGCGGTAGGGGAAAATGCGTGGAGGGATTCTGTGAGTGTGAGAGACGAGTCAACCCAAAAGAGAGATACAGCGGGCGATACTGCGAGTGCAGCAACTTTGACTGTCCATACCAAAACAGCAGGTATATATATGAGAAGATTAATAAGCCATGAAATATTAACTTCCCTTTTAATCCTGATTTGTTACAGAAACGCACTAAGATTAAAAAGACAAAAACTCTATCCAACAGTATATGTGGAGGCCGTGGGAAGTGTGAGTGTGGACAATGCATTTGTGATGATGACTGGGCTGGTGAGGACTGCGGCTGCTCCATGGAAACTGCTTCCTGTATGGCCACAAATCAGAATCTGTGTAGCAATAAAGGGATGTGTCAGTGTGGGAAATGTATTTGTGAGCCACCATACGCAGGCCCGACCTGTGAGGACTGCCCTGTGTGTCATGGCAGATGTAGGCAGCATGTGGACTGTGTGGAGTGTCGGGCGTTCGGGACGGGGGCGAGGAAGGACAGGTGAGAACCAGGGTCATAATGTAAACTAAAACTTAAAGGACAGTGGGAAATATAATTATGAACTGAAACTAAATTAATAATATCCCTTAGGAAAACTCTCGTAAAATTGAACCACTAAAATGTATCCGAAATAAAAATGATAGCAGATTCTCATCTTAAAACAACTAAACATTAAGGCCATCTCTACAAAATGTCACCAACTATGTATTTTGTATATGTTAAATCATACATCATAATATATACCTGGCCCTATCAAAACAAAAATAAACAGTGCCTTAAGAAAAAAAACTTTAAATGACCTTTAAACTTTAAATGAAAATTTGAAGTTGCAGTTACTGTTTTATTCTTCGTCAGACACATATTAAATGTTACCATACATCTAAATACTTATTGATGTTATCTTATCTTATTGCTGTTAACATTGGCTGTCTCATTAGACCATGGGTATCTTCATCAAAATGCCACTACACTACACACTAGTTACACTTCACTGAGATATAATACCTCTCGACTGCTTTCTCTCACTCATTACAGGTGTGATCAAGAGTGTGGCTACCTCACTGTGACACTTGTGGAGACACAAGATGATATTCCTCAACCAGGAGAATCTATTGCTTTCTGTAAGATGAGGAGCAGTGATGATTGCGTCTTCTACTACACCTTCTCCAGGACGCCCTCTGGAGGAGAGGCCACGGTGGTGCGGGCTAAGGAATGTCCTTGAGGACTGTAAGAGGACATCAGGAGTGTGTGATCCAAGAGTCCAGTTCTTCCTTACGTTGATGGAATGCCTTGTCCAACTGCAACTCCATGCATTGGTTCACTAAACACTTTGCTTTAATGTTTTGTTGTTCTAAATCCCTACATTTGTCTTAATTATGGTAAGAAAAAAAGTAAATTAAATCATTTAAACCTTAAAAATAATTAGAGGATCCTTCTGTTTCTTTTACTTCCTTAAATCATCCTTGGGTCTAATTTACAAGGGGCTGACTACCTCTGCTTTCAAACAATGCAGGTGAATCAGCAGGAGTAGTTGATTTGAGTATAATGCAAAACCATAGTCATATTGGCTGCCATGGAATAACTACTGTTATCAAGGGTTTGAAGTAGACTTATGTTGGCAACATTTTTCTTAATCAACAGCCAGATCAAAATTATCTAGATTTTGTTGAATTAAAGAAATGTCTGATCAATCACAAAGTGAGCGAGCGAAAAAGAGCATACCTGCATCCGTATGATGATGCAGTTGTTCCTGGTTGTGAGGCTGGTACTGTGCTGAAAGCGAAGGTCTCTGGCCTGGAGACTGAGCTCCTGGCAAAGCTCTGTTTTCTTCTTATCTGTAAGAGAAAAAGGGAAGAAGATGAGAAGAAGGAGAGGGTTGGAAAATAGTGACGAGAAAATTATCTGTTTAATTTTTATTTATTGTTTTCATAACAGGGAACATATAAAACTGTGAAAAAAATACTGCTCTCCTAATCTTTTGTTGTTGTTGCTAGATAAAGCTTTTAGCATCTCTTTGGCAAGAAAACTCAGAAAAACAGAGCAAGGGAGAACATATTATTGGATTCAATAGACATACAGAGAAAAACACTGTCACTATTGTGAACGTTGTCTTAGCCCAGGAGAAGACATATTACTAATCATCAGTGTCAACTGAGATGTTTCTCCTCAAATAAAAAGACAGGCAAGTTGATTTAATTTGCAATACTTACCAAATGATGTCACATTTCCCTCTTGGTCAAACTTCATCTATGACAGAAATAAACAAAAAGCTGATCACCTCTAGCAATCACAATTACTCTAACATCAGTACTAATGTACTTTGTACATGTTTGTTTGATAACACCTGGGACATATGGGATATATCCATTTGAAAATCAGCGGTAAAATCAAACACATTTCCTCCAAAAGCATATTCCCATGAAGTGCATTTGACTTATAATCAACGATAGTAACTACTGTTCAGGAACCACTGTAATGTTTAGGCTCTCTTACCACTACAAAAGCTGGAGGCACACTGGAAACGTCTGTCCCTCCGTGGCGGATAAAGGACACTGTTCATAGAAAATACAAAGTTAAACCTTGTGTAAAGCAATATGTTTCCTATATGCAAACAGCAAGGAAAATAACAAAAACAAGTATACACAATATGCATAATCAGCTACAATCGCTGGGGATTTTTAGGTAAACCGGATTTACTAGAAATCTACACTCCTGTACTTACAGTGGTGCACAATTTCAAGGTGCCAGATGCATTTGGAAAAATGAATATTAACAATAGAGTTGCTACCAAATATTGGAAATTAATTTGATGTTAAAAAAACAATCCTTCAGGGAAGTAAACCCAACCTTCTGTCTAGTCACTTTGAATTTTGATAAAAATAAGTAAAGCTTTGATTCAGTTTTATTAAATGTGAATCACTGTCCTCAGTAACATTACAGTAATACCATTACTGTACCAGTGACAAACTAATATAGGAGAATGATATATAGCCTATACATTTATCAGAGAGGTTACAGTGTGGACATATATTGAAATAAGGGCTTTATAATCTGAAACAATTTAGTAATTGTGATTTCTTTGACTGAAATTGGAATTTCAATATGACTACCATTGTGAAAATAATGATTTTGCATTATTATTTTATTTTCCTTAAAAAATACATAATAAAACAACGTTTTTTTTCTCCAAGTTGTACTAGAAAAATATTTGTTCTTAATTGTGTTGAATATAATTTCTGAACGAAGGAAAACAAATTGCATTTTGACGTATGTTGCATTATATCACCTCCTGTCTTTTGGATATATTGTACTAATCAATATGGCATTAAAATACAATGATACATTATGATTAATTGTTATACCCTTATTGAAAAACATGTAGTACTGGAATCAGGATAATTTGGTGTTAATCAACAAATAAAAGACTGAATTGTGAACAATATAATGGTGTGGAAACAGACCAAATCAACTCGTCAACATGCTCACTATCTGTCACTCTTACCAGGCCATGCTGCACCTCCTTCTTGTAGCAGCTTCTCTTTCCTGACCGCAGCAGACTGAGATCTTCTGGGTTGACATGTTGACACCCACTGTGTTTGACTGCAGATGGCATTTGGACCAACACCACTGTAAGTCCGGATGAACAGTCCCAGTTTTGTATTTCCAAGAGGCACAGTGTACTTCAGTGGGTAGAGTAATGCACGAGCACTCCAAAGGACAAAGGTTCGAGTCCCACCGATTCTTGAAGACAAAAACCTAACAGAGCTCAAATGGCGATTTGGATAAAAGTTCCTTCCAAATGGCAGATACATCCTAGTGCAGTTCATACAGCCAGCCAGAAGCAGCCTGTGTAGTTTCATCCACACACAGCCACTACAGCAGCAAGGAAATATTAAGACATACAACCACAGTGAAGGGTGGAGGAGAAAAGGAAGGCAAGCTTTAGCCTACATAAGCAAAGGAACAAGGTAACACAGTTTTGGCGTCAAAAGCTGAAAGTGTGTTCCTAGGTCATATTGATAGTGGTTCTTCAAGTTGAATGTCAGTTTTTTAGACAAGACAGTCCATATCCGCATGTAGAAAAATGACACTTAGTAATATGCTATAGTTTAATTATGCGCAAATATTGGCTAACGTAGGCAACTTAAATGTCATACTTTCCTCACATTGTTTGTAAGAGTGCTGCAGTAAGTATGTAAGTTGTGCTAGTTATCTCAGCTAACGTCACTAGTATTAGTTTAATGTGTTCTTAGATAATTATCTATTTAATTCGTGACAGTAGCCACAATTACATGTAACACATGTCAGTTACCTGCCGCTAACTACATACTTTCCTCAACCAAAACATTGTGATTGTAATCCAAAAAACAAGTTGTCCAAGTTAGCAAACTAGCAAACAACAAGAGGACATGCAAGAGCAATGTAGGAGACCACAATGCACCGCGGCGCGGTGAAGCACCGGCTGCCGAAGATCGTCTCTGGTGAAGACAATCACTCGTACTGAAAAAAGTTAACCAACTAAATCCAATATTTTGAGCTGAAGAGGTCAGCAAAAAATGCATTAAATAATAAATACATAAAAAGGTAAGTCAAAATTAGAGATAGATAGTAAGTGAAACGCAATAAATATGAAGTCATCATTATTATAATTAAGTAAATTCTTCCCTATTAATGAATTATGAGATTATGAGAGAGTAAATAACAGTTATTTCAAAGAATCTGAGTATGAAAATCATAATTTAAAAAAAAACCTCATCGAAATAATGACTTTAATTAAAAAGTGTATTGGAATTTTTAGATATCTTTTTATTATTTCAAACAATTTTTTTTAGATAGTAGGCTACTTTTGTCCTGTAGGCTACTGGCGGAAATGGGCTTCCAAAGACAGACATGCCCCGTGCCAAAAAGACGATAATTATTTGCGTGCATTATTTCAGGTTTTGGTGGCACCCGGAACAAACCATGCTGTGGATTTATTGCTAAGGCTTCGCGAGATTTGCACTCTGACTTATTAAAAACGGTGCAGTCAGCATCAGCATCTCTGATAACCGGAAGGATGCTGTGGCGGGGAGGAAGCGTGGGGATTTCATTGTGTTTACGCTATATCCGATTATAAACAGCTCCGTGCTCAAACCAGGTCCCATATATAGTTATTTTTATTTTATAATTTCGTTGTTTAGGATCTGTATTAGCTGCTGCCATGTTTCCATCGTGTCAGTCCAAGGCTCCCGCCGGGGACAGCGGCGACTCCTCCACCAAGAGAAGCTCCATCGCGAAGATGCTGCTCGGGGTCTTCGTGGTGTACATGCTGCACACCGCCTGGCTGCTGTACGGCTTCCTCAACACCAAGCCCTGCGATAGAAGCAAAGGAGAGCTCTGCATCTCCTCCTACCTGACAGCAAGACCCAGGCTTCAGGTGAGCACAGGCCTCTGTCTCTTATCCACTACTCCTCATTATCAGGGATACCAGATTACTGAGAGATCCAGAAAAAGACCCTCCTGCATGCAGGTGGGTTCAGAATAACTAAACTCACTGCCCCTGCTCCTTCGTTAATGATATTAGCCAGTGCTGCTAAGAATAAACCCTCTTTTTAATAATGTCCTTTTCCTGCAAAGCATGATACAAAAACGACTTTTGGTTATGGCCTTTAGTTTTTTTCAGATAAAAAGTGTATTGACTGTGTCATCATGCCCAGCTTGTAAGTGTGTCCTCTTTCATAACCCAGAACAATTTGCTCAACAGCTATTTTGCACGAGTATAATATTCAATCCCATGCCATTATGTGTCTATTTATATATTCCTGTAACCTAGTGAGACTGTATATTGAGTATACTCCATTTATTCAATATTTCGTATTATTTAGATATAGGATATATGTATTTTATGTTGTGAATTTGTATACTTGCTGCTAGTGTCAATTTAGCATTTACATTTTAAATGTTTAAATGTTCTTACTATTTATACTTGCCGCAAATGTTAATTTTTATTTTATTATATTTGTATCTTATTGTATCTTTTACATTTTTTAATCTTGTTTAATGGTTGGCACTGCTGCTTGAACCAAATCATTTCCAAATTTTGGATAAATAAAGTAAATATCTAGTTATCTTAAATAAAAAGGAATGATGTGTGTGTCAGGCTGAATCAATAAATACTTTAAATACTGATTTACATGGGGGGGGGGGGGGTTACAACATAAAGTCGTTTTTTTTTAGTTCTCACTTTTTCCATTTTTGCATGTATTTTTGGACACAAAGGTTTTTTGAAATAGAAAACGCTGCTTTGAATCTTCTCTTCTTCTGTTTTTACAGCTGAGTGTCTTCACCTGCCTCGTGCCAGACAACAGCCAACTCAACCTGGTTGTAAGAATAGACCAATTTGACCCACACTCTTCATTTGAGAGGTGGGTTTGACATGTTATACATCTGTTAATCATGCAAATGTCAATTAGGAGACTTTCTGCTCATTGCCACTAAAAGGTAAACACTGTAGAAACAATGCTGCTTTAATTTACTATCTCACTTATATCTTCTCTCTCGCTGTCCCTTCTCTCACTCCTTAGGGAAGTGAATGTCTCCCTGCCAGAGCAAACTCGGGATAATGGCACTCTGTTTGCAGTCGTGTATATTCACAAAGCTGGTGTTTCACCTCTGGAGGACGGCAGAGAAGTGCACTATGCAGCTCAGCTCACCACCTACATCGCTCCCCCCCATACAGAGGGACAAAGAGACACGCACAAGGTAAAATGTGACTCAATATCTGCTAAAGTCCTATCATATTTCAGCCACTTGTCACCTTTACAGCAGATATAAGTGATTTGTATGGCTCCATCAGAGGGCGAGTCCCAGATCAGAAAATCCCGTATCCCACTGGAGACCTCACCTGTCAGTCACTATGATGTCAGAGGACTTCACCTTCAACAAGGCGGGGCTTCCCAGTGATGTGCGGCGCTACATGAGAGTGTAAGTCACATGTGGCTTTGGAGGTCAAATCTACTGACTACTGCTTGTTCTGTGTGACGAAAGCTTTCAGCCAGTGCTCTTCTTAAAGCATACATTTTATCTGTAAAATCGTTTTTTACACAATTACAAAATAAATTAATCCCCTAAAGGACATCAATGAATAAACTAACATAGTTGTTTAGAAAAAGAAGCAAACATTAGAAACAAAGAAAGGTGACAATTGTGTTCATGTACCTTAGTCTTAACCATTGCTATATTTTTTTCCTTTATTCTTCTCAACATCCCATTTCTAAGGCAACTAAAAGGGCAATCAAAAGGCCCAGGCCTCCAATAATACCATTATCATTAATACAAAATAATGTGGGTTACCGATAAGCGATTGGGATTCTTTCCAAAATGTAAATTTTCTTTCACTTTCTCACAAAGTTTAAGGAAAATCAGGCCAGTGTTTTTCCTGTTATTCTGCTGACAAACACACACACAAATAAACAAACCACAAACATCATTTCTTGATAGTTAATAAAGATGCTGAAGCATTGCCAGCATGACTGTCACTCTGTAGAAATACACTTGTGAGTGGGAAGGTGACTGTTCATCATTTGTAAAGCAAACACAATGACTGTTGCTTAATAAACCATTTAAATGCATGTGGGTTATGTTTGATTATAATCTTCTTGCATCTCCACCCTGCTGTAAATAATGAATCTGCCCCAGGCCAACGTTTTTGTGTGTGTGTGTGTGTGTGTGTGTTTAGATTAAACCGTCTCCCTGTTTGTCCCTGCAGCTCTCAGGAAGGCCGACAGATGATCTACCTCCCTCTGCTGCTGGTGAACGAGATCAGCTTCAGAGTCAGAGACCTCGTGGTAGGACAACTTTACCCATGAAGTTAAAATCATACTTCATAAAACACAGTTTGGGTTTGATTTGAATGATCTAACATCTACCTTTTCACTCATCAACAGGAGATCAGCAGCAGCACTATCCGGCTGCCTCTGACTGTGTCCTACGAGGGCATCTCTTTGAGGGGGTTCAGGTTCTGGGTGCATCTGCAGGACATCGTTTATTCTCTGCGACAGTTTGGTGAGCTGATAAGATGCGATAATAACACAATACATATTTCAGCATGTGGCTATTCACATCACATAACCAGTGGATTGAAATGCATCTTGTTATTTCTCCAGGCTTCACTGAGGAGAACGTGGATGAGATTAAAGAGACTTTGGTGGGCTCCAACCTCTACCTGTTAGTGTTGACTGCACTCATCACAGCTCTGCAAGTAAGATCATGCAACACCATAAAAGAAAAACCATGCCATACATATTAGATCCCCCTGATTTTTAAATTTAAATTTCAATCTCTATATGTAAGTTTCATGAGAGCACGTTTATTGCAAATGAAGCATTGTAAAGTTAAAGTATGTTTCTATCTACAGCTCATATGTGAGTTCTTGGCTCTTAAAAATGACTTCTGCTCGTGGAGAAAAAAGAAGACCATGGCGGGAATGTCCAGGAAATCAGGCAAGACATGTTTTTAATTATTAAACATTTGTGACTTAAAAATAGTCTTTAAAGGTTTTTTTTTGCACTGACAATTGTTTTCAGTCAAGGTAGTAGAGCTTGTGGCAAATATAAACAACATTAAATCATAGTTTTAATGTATATGTCGGAACGAACAGTAAACCAAAGCCTGGAAAATATTAAAGTGTTTCTGTGTTTCTCCCCTTTCTGTTTGTAGTTCTGTGGCGTAGTCTGAGCACTTTGCTGATTTTCCTCCATCTGCTAGAGGAGACAAGTCTGCTGGTGCTGCTGCCTGTTGGACTGGGAGCATTTTTGGAGGTATTTCGAATAACAGGAAAATCCAAATAACAGAAAAGGTAAAAGAAACATTATAGCCGACAGTTTTAACCAACGAACATTTCCTCCTGCCAGGTATGGAAGTTGTTTGCAGTATATAAGGTCCAGTTTCAATGGAGAAGCTCCAAGCTCCATGTGAGTATGTGCCATTCAACATCCGTTCACTGTAGATTTAATATCTAAAGTGATATCATTTGTTTCAATGTATTTTAATAATAAACTTTTACTTCCAGCCCTGATGCAGACTGTCATTAACTTTCTTTCTAACGTAAGTCTGCCTCCTCTCTCACTGTGAAGGTCATTAAGCTGGACGAAGAAGAGAGAAAGACAGTGGAGTATGACAAACAGGTGTGTTTATCTATCTTTTTCTAATATGTTAGAGTTCTGATTTAATATGCTCTGCTTCAGGATTTAATTAGAATATTTGCTTTTCTCTCCAGGCGTCAAGATACTTGTCCTACTTGGTCTATCCTCTGTGCATCAGCGGAGCTATTTTCTCCCTGGCCTACTTACGCCAAAAGAGGTAAGAGCTCTGCTACGTAGCTTAAAGGCATACTATGCAGGATTTGTCGGCTGCTGATGTAAACACACCATTCATAGTTGGCCCT